TAGAGCATAAGTACAGCGGGGCGCTGGTTTTGTTAATTAACTTTCGCAAGGCTCGGTCACGGGATGGGTGGCTAAAGAGCTACTCCGTGCTTCGGAAGATACTTTAAACCGTTGGTCCCGGCTGCATTCGCAGTCGTTAATACCCTCCAATCCACATTGGACCAAGGAGGAGGATTATGGTCTATCCTCTTTAATCATACTACTTCTTTATGTAGAAAAAGTAGAAAGGTGTGACGTCATGCGACATTTCAACTCAATATATCGTCGTAATTTCTAGATTAGACAAAAAATAAAAAAAAACCAAGGTTAATACTCTTCAATAAATCTATTTGACGTACAGACAAGAAAGTAGCTTGATTTCAAATTAGTCTACGTCTTGGTTCTATTTTCATAATATATTTAAAATAGAAAACGGTTGAACAGTTTTAGGGTAGTGATTGAATTTTCTTTTGTAATTTATATGAATGAAAATAAAAATATATTTATTAACTTAATAACTATTTATCATTTTAATTATGTACATTAATATACATTAAATAATATACGTATATTTTTTATGTAAGTGCTATAGTAAAATTTTGCATAGCCCATTTAGCATTGCTTTAATAGGTGAACAGACAGTATTAGTATCATTTAATGGATATTTTCCTTGGAACTATGAAATTCATTATTAGAGAAGACATACTAATTTTTAAGGATTACAAAAAGGTATAAAATACACTGAGACTTAACTTCACGTAGTATATATTGCTTTTCCTTCGATATTGTCGTTTAAAATTAAAATAATTAGTTTAAACGAAAAAAAAGTAAAGCTAAATATATAGTATTAATAATATGCATTATCAAACATACGAGTAGTACATATAGTATATTTACAGCTACGAAATTTTCATATTAGAAAATTCAAAATCAGTTTTGCTGCGCTCTAATATTTATTTATGCTGCGATGCCAACACAACTTTGTATAGGTGTGGCCGAAATGCCAGGGGGGTTTAAAGACCACCGACAAAGGGGCTGAAAGGGGGTCGAAATGGGGTGAAAGGGAAGGAAACGCCTAATGGCCTATAGTCACGAAAGCAACACTTAAATTATACGAACTATGTTAATACTGTAGCCTAAACTTTGGTATGGATTTATTATTTTATATTGTCGCCGTTGTTTCGCACGCTATTCGAGAATTAAAAGTGTTGGCCGATGGAATTATGCAGATTTGACATTTTCTGTATTTTCCTTTTATAAAAAAGGCTATTTGTGTAGTTATTGTTCGTCTCGATTGGTTCGACCAATCCGCACTGGTACCGAGTGGTGAAGGCCCGAGTCCCAGCAGAGGGACGATTAATAGGCTGGTGATGTAATTCAGTCTAAAATATATATGCACCATATGAGGGGCTTCAAAGGGTCGTACTTAGTTAAGGTATGCAATCTGTGAGAAAGTAAATTCCCATCCATATGCTTCTGATCCAGTATTGTATCATTAATAGACAAATGTTGATATTGCTAAATTTTAAAGACCATCGGCATATGTTAAATTTGTACAGAGTGGAATCGATTCCTAAATACTATATTATATCTGAAACTAAATCAGACTTTAGGGCATGAGATCTAATGATGTATGCGTATGGGTACATGCATGTGTTATATGTAGGTTAAATAATACCTACTTCAAAGACTAATAAAGGTTTTATAACTAAAGCTGTGCCAGCGATGTGTGTGACGATGTATTTTTTTTAAATAATTTCAAAGCACAATAAATTAATTATGGTGTAAAAAAATATTTAAAAAGTCTTACCTATTTATATATTTGTAACTATTACAATTATTTGTAAATTATAGTTTAGAAATCGCTATTTAAACGGATATGACAAAATATGATTTTCATTTGGCTGGATACTACTTAAACACCTGCCCAAAATAAGTCTAAGCCAGGAATCGACAACTTTGTAGGACAGAAGAGCTAAAAGCTACAATTTATTAAATTTCACAGTTTATAAATAGCCACTGAAAGATTTCGTCTTAATATTAATTAAATGACTATTCAAGGTTTTATTTAAAGTAAATATCCATGTAACAGTATATTTCAATCGTTTTAACGTATTTAAAGAGCTTCTACAGTGAACAATTTTTTTTTTGTAGACGGAACTTGAGTACCGTAACATTACGTCGAAAGAGGCGCACGCCGACCCCTGGTTTCAGCCAATACATTACCCTTTTATACAAAACTTCCTACCCCATTTTGTCCGGAACACCCGCCATTTTGCCATTTACCGCTACGTACCAGCCCGTGTTGGTAATAACCGGTAATAGCGTGTTAGTTCACAACCTTCTGATCCAGTATTGTATCATTAATAGACAAATGTTGATATTGCTAAATTTTAAAGACCATCGGCATATGTTAAATTTGTACAGAGTGGAATCGATTCCTAAATACTATATTATATCTGAAACTAAATCAGACTTTAGGGCATGAGATCTAATGATGTATGCGTATGGGTACATGCATGTGTTATATGTAGGTTAAATAATACCTACTTCAAAGACTAATAAAGGTTTTATAACTAAAGCTGTGCCAGCGATGTGTGTGACGATGTATTTTTTTTAAATAATTTCAAAGCACAATAAATTAATTATGGTGTAAAAAAATATTTAAAAAGTCTTACCTATTTATATATTTGTAACTATTACAATTATTTGTAAATTATAGTTTAGAAATCGCTATTTAAACGGATATGACAAAATATGATTTTCATTTGGCTGGATACTACTTAAACACCTGCCCAAAATAAGTCTAAGCCAGGAATCGACAACTTTGTAGGACAGAAGAGCTAAAAGCTACAATTTATTAAATTTCACAGTTTATAAATAGCCACTGAAAGATTTCGTCTTAATATTAATTAAATGACTATTCAAGGTTTTATTTAAAGTAAATATCCATGTAACAGTATATTTCAATCGTTTTAACGTATTTAAAGAGCTTCTACAGTGAACAATTTTTTTTTTGTAGACGGAACTTGAGTACCGTAACATTACGTCGAAAGAGGCGCACGCCGACCCCTGGTTTCAGCCAATACATTACCCTTTTATACAAAACTTCCTACCCCATTTTGTCCGGAACACCCGCCATTTTGCCATTTACCGCTACGTACCAGCCCGTGTTGGTAATAACCGGTAATAGCGTGTTAGTTCACAACTCACATGGTGGGCTAGAGGGTGCTGAAATATGCAAACTTATGCAATATTACATCGACTAATCGATACGAGTCAGGCTGAGACCGCACTGCGTTTAAACGCGACTGTAACTTTACGGTTTGTAACATATAGCCTTATGTTATATAAGCATACTTTAGCCGACTGGAAACGCGAGACGCGATGTTAAAAACCTTTTTGAGGTTTCAGCTATATCTTAGATGAACAAGGCGTTTCGTCAAAGAGAAATAAGATGAATTAATGAAAAATACTTAAAGAATCCACTTTGTCCCCTCGAACCCATGAACCCATGACCTTTTGCAATCCAGGCTACTGTTCTAACCCCAGATCTAACAGGGTTGACCAATTTTTTAAGCACTTGTTACTTGTTCGCTACTACAGATTTTATTTCTTTAGGAACTAGCGACCTCTAGTATGTTATTTGTTCATTTTTTTTTGCGAATTAACAGTCCGTTTGCTTATTTGTCTATGGCTATACCTACATCGCGTATGTTTAAACGCAGTATGGTCTCAGCCTTACATTAGTAGAATGAAAGTTACAGCGACGTAACTTGTTCTATTATTAGATTTTATTGATCCAAACTAATGTATTGAGTCTTAATGTTCTTTAGTTACGTCATGGAGGTCGAATCATTGAAATTATTTTGATGAATTATAGTAAAAAGAATTTGATCTGGATATGTCACTTCATTATCATTCTCATCGTTATCAGTCTAGAAATGTCCGCACTGCTGAGGTACAGGCCTACCCCATGAATGGAATCGAATCAAATCAAAGGAAGAGTGGGTCACGACCCACCACGCGGACCCAATGCAAATTGGTAGGTGATAACGACCGCAGATGCGGCCGGAACATACGGCTTTACGTGCTTACCGAAGCACGGGGGAGCTCGAGCTGATAAACTTTGGTCACACATCCCATGTCCGATCTTTGAGATAGCTGTTTTTTCAAGTTACGGCCAAGTAATAGGTATATTTGGAACATACGTCATCAGGAAGAATAACGCGGACAAACGATGACCCATGAGGCTAAAACTAGCTTTTGTGTTAGCCCAACATCCCCTGAATACATTAATGAATTTTGTTAATAAAATACGAATAGTTCATTGGTCCACTTTTGTTCCATTTTAATACGCTGTGGGGAATTTCATTTCTTTCGTTCTCGCCATAGGGAAAATGACAATTCTATTTTGGAATGTTCTATTCACGATCCGGTCAATGTAGAAAATATTTTTACTATATTGCCTGGGGTCTGTATATAGTGGCTAGAACTTATCGACTCCCATCCAGAAAATCCATGTGTATGATTCCCTGGTACTTCTTTCATACCACCAGTTGCGAAGTTAATAGTCATATCAATCTCGTCTGGCTAGGACTTCGACGGTTAACTTTGATTTACTTCGTACTATGGTATCCAATCAGATGTAGATAATATAATATTTTATCTACATCTGATAAAAATCTTATAACATAAAAAGCGGTTTAATGATATCAATGCGTTGATGTCTTTTCTATTTAAATGTGACGTTAACACTTATATATGTACCTAATCATTAAATAAGTATCTGGATAACTTCAAAGAAGTTGTCGGATAAGAATAAGCCTTAAATAAAAAAAAAAATGTCTTTTTGAAACAAATATCCATTATAATCATTAATAGGTTTTAAATTGATACTCTAAAAGGGCGTACTGTTTTGTTTGGTAGAATAGCATTTTTTTTTTCAACCGCTCCCCACCCACTGACGGGCCGTTATTATTGGAACTTTAAGGTATAATCAATTTATGTATTTTTTTCAGTGAGCATGGAAGCTTCGTCGTCGGACTACAGCGATGAAGAAGTGGGCGTTCTCGCGCGCGGACAGAAACTGTGGGTGAGAGGTGTGCGTGCGCATACAACCTGCGCCGACATCGTACGCGCCTTGCAAGATGCACCTGAAGGTATTACAGAGGCAAAGGATGTATATGTCGCGGGAAATTCAATAAGAAACGAACCGTTTTCCCGCATAAATTGTAACCTATATAACACGCAACTAATATGAAAGAATTTTTAGATACGGTCTATTATAGAGCTAATCCAGTATTTCCCCCTTTTGATATTAGCAGACAATTTTAATAATTTTTAAGTACACACAATACAAAACATTATCAGTGAGCCAAGTCAACCTTATTTCGCATTCAATTCGCGTATTGTGGTACAGACAGACTTGCTAGACAATAGCAAAAACTAATGACAATAAACACATTGTTCATGAAAGTTGTGCATTGTTGTCACAGACAAAATGATAATTAGATAATAGGTCTTTATAACCTATGAAGTTGCTTTGTACAGTCAACAATATATCGACCAAAACTTTCAGTTTTCTGCGTAGAAAAAAGTCCTGAATCTGTTGCGGAAATTCGTCAGGTTGCACTGACCACGAGCACACATCGTCATAATGTAAAACTGTAATTTCCTGCTGTCTATACACTAGACACTCTTTAAAACTACACAATGGATTTTAATGCGATTTTCATCATTATTATACAGTAATTGAAAAGGGAAAGTTTATACGTATATTACAGGACCACTCGGGTGAAGTCGCGAAAAGCTAGTTTAATGTAATTTTACAATTAGAATTCACAACAAACACAAATGCATTATTTTTTTAATAATTATAGAATTTAAAACTATAGATATAATTATAGAATTTAAAACAACAATTTAAAACGATATATAATACGCGGCACGTAAGTTGCACGAAAGTGACAATTTTTCACGCACGCTGTGCCTCTCGATTGAGACCTGAAATATACTTCTGCGCATAGTTAAAATTATGTACCGTGATCTGTGAGGCAACTTCATAGACATAGAATACATATTCGACTTTCACACGTATTCCAGTAAATATATTTAATGACAGGAGGCAGCGGGATATGTGATCAAGGAGAATGGGTTCTAGCGGAACGATGGCGTGGAGTCGAACGACCTCTGCCGCCCGACGTGCCAGTATTGCATGTCTTAGCAGCTTGGGGAGATGCCAGACACGAGGTAATTCTAGGACAATTTTTTTGATCCCAGCTGCAGTAAGCAAACTTTAACATTCAGCAATCTAAGTTAGGGTGTTGGGTTGTTTTTCTATAACATTTAATCCGTATAGAAGAATTCTGCTTCAATAATGGGGACAAGATAAATGTGTTGGTTGGTGCAATCAAATAATTAATATATTTTAGACTTAGTTTATTGTAATAAGATTTTACATATAACATGACATTATAGCCAGACATAGTAATGGTCACAGACTTCAGGGTATCAAAATGGTGGTCCAGAAACGAACTATTTAAAAGCATTAGTGATAAAAATACAATTTCGTACACTGTCATTCAGGTAGCCAAATCTACCTCTTCTCCCAATCTAAATTATTGCAAATAGTTTCAAGAAAGAAAAAGAATAGTCGTGTATAAAAAGTGTTAAAACTACGATATGAACATTAGGTCTCTTTCAACAACCTAGTCCTCTAATTCTACAAAATACCACATAACTTTTTTAGTTGCTACCTAGTAAACAAAATTCTTTGCTTCGTAACTCTTTATAATAAAAGAGTATTTTTGTTTTGCGCTGCAATAATCCAAAAAGATTGCACTGCATTTTCATTTCTAGGTTCGTTTGTCACTACGCCGAGTATCCAGCGGTGGAGAGGATGACTCTGGTCGAGACAGCGATGGAGGCAGCAGAAGCGGAGCTAGGCGAAGACGCAGAAGAGGATTAAGAACTAGCACTCCACCACCTAGAGCCAAGAGCGAAGATCCTGCCACCAGACTGGTCTCCGTTATACAACACCAAAGTAGAACTATACATCAGCAACTGGACAAATTAAGGTAGTCTTTGGAAGAAATAAAGAGTTTAATCATATTGTTCGTTTTATTACTATAAAATACTTGTCTATTTTGTAACAATACCCCTCACTCTTATAAATACAATTTAACAAAACCGCAAGTGTGTCTTATGTTTTAAATCAGATTAAAGTGGCAAATTTTCAATTTTCAAATTTTCATCATAAATCACATACAATGAAATTATGAACAGAGTTTTAATTTCTGGGTGAAAAAGTATTTACGAAAACATTTGTTTATATTTCAGGGAGCAAGAGAAACTCATAGACCACCTCGAAGACCAGACACATAAAAATCGAATGGAAAAACATGGTACCAATTATTTACTAGAGTCCTACCTACGTGACTTGGGCAGATGCAACGAGATAAACGACAGTCAAGCAGGTAACAGTGACAGCGGGGTCGGCGTAGGCAGTGGAACACCACCCAGAAGACACACGAAACACAAGAGCAGACGAGAAAGACATCTAATGAGGGAGCATTACTTCACAAAAGAACTCACGGATATATGCCAAGTGAACGCTGAAAGGCTAACTCAAACTCACAACGACACAGATTCTGACGCCTCAACAGATGAACTGGCAAGGTTACGAGAGGAAATCGAGCTTTTGGAGAAACTTGCAATTATAAATAAGCGATTGCATCGCGAAGAAGAATTAGTTGTCAGACTGACGGCTAAAGTCAAACGATATATGGACGAAAACAAGGCTAACAGCTGCGAAAATGTTACCCAGGTTACAATGCTAATAGATAAAATCGAAGAAGAATTGGGTAAGACTACAAAAGAGATGCACGACAACGCTATAGAACTTGAAAAGGCTGACGAAGAATTAAAATTAAGAATGAAGATGTTGGACGAATTAACGTTGGCATTAGAGGAGGAAGAATTACAGAATGCAGTTTTAGAAAGACAGTTAAATGAGGCGTCAAGTCGACAGCCGATAATACTTCAAGACAATTATGTACCTGTTTTAGATCAAACCAGTGTCTGTCAGTTCAGCCAAGGCACTGGTTATGTTTTAGACACCCTCGTGTAATTAAGATAAAGAAATATCATCCCAAAGATGTACTGACAAATTACCAATTGTTTTAATTAAATGAGTTCTAGTAATTGATTTGGCGCTATTCAATACTCCTATTAATCTTAAGTTATGTGTGTAACTTCTTTCTTTTTTCCGGATAGGATAAACAGGGAGATTCATATTAAATAGCAAAGTTAAATATACTTGTTTTGGTTTCAACAAGATATCATTTGAATTACTAATCTGAAAAAGCTTCCAGTACATATATAAAATTGTTTTAAAGAGTATGGAATATAATCAAGACAATTATTATCTCCTTATAATGTTCTAATGTTAAATTTTCAACTACTCTTTATTAAAATAGTTTGTATTTACACTTATTATAATGCAAGAAATATACTTGACTTTATTATTATATTTTTTACTGGATTTTTGAAAGGGCATATGAGCTATTATTCCAAACGAGATGTTGTATATGAAACAGCCACACAAAAAGTAACTGATGGAGATAAAGATGGGACTACAAGAGCTCACGGTCATGATAAAACCCTTGATATTACTCCAAAATATTGTACTAATATCATTTATATAGTTGATTATCTTTTACGTTTCTTGTAAATATTTTTGATATATAATTAGACAATAATAAATTGGTGCTAAGTTAATGGTCACGGAATTACCGTTAACCGGTATTCTGTTAGATATCATGAGACCTAGATTTTTCTGGCATGGTGAGTTGATAAAAAACTTTTGTTTGAGTGTATTTTTATAAAATAAAATAAATTTAAACCCAATATGGATGACGACTGGGTAACAAAAAAAATGAAATTCTATTTAGTCCGTCGGTCAGATAATAGATAATATTATATACGTTTTTTTTTTGTTAGAATTTAAACAAGAAATGGCTTTGATAATAAGCATTAAAGTTGAGGAGTACAAAAACGCGAGTGCTTGCGACATTTCAACTGAATGTATTGCCGTAATTTTTATTGTTTACGCAAAAAAAATGTATGGAATATTCTTCATTAACCTACCTTTCGGACATACAAACAAAAATTAGCTATCATCGCCATTGTTAAAGTAGACATTAAATATTGCTAGTATTTAATTGTAAAAAAAAATGTTATCCTGGTATAGTCGAATTCTTTTTAAAAAAAGTATAAGCCAGAAAATCAAGGGTCTCGTTATTGTAATTACAATTATATATTCGAGTCCGATGCCAAAAATATATAACAAAAAACCACCAACCACAATATATTATTATATTTAGTATTTACCTAGGCTAGTTAAGTAAAAAGTAAAACCGAGTTTCATTATCGTACTTCTAGACCATGGACTAAGAAATGTACATTATTTATCAAACGTGAAAAAAAGGTTTTCAAAATTGTAATGCATACTTTTTTACACTATTTACATTTAAAAATTAAAGTTTAGTTGACATCTTGTTTTCAAGTCTGGCGTGTGCTAGAAACGCGCCGCAGATTTGACTCTCGCTTGAGTCGGTTCGGTCAAATTTATTGGTTTATTTTGAAGTCCGAAGGGTCATGTGACTAAGAAAAAGTGCTTTACTGATAATAAATTATTTTTCATACTATCGAAAGTTGATAAAGTCTGAAATTTCATTCTAAACCCTTCCTGTAGTTATAATAAATGTTTATATGCAATATTATTAGTTATATAAGAGAAAATAAACAACGATTATCAAGACATGTGTTTTATTATGGACATATAAGAAATAAACAGAATATAATATAGCGAATTCTATAACCGTTTCTTTGCCTTGGCCAGTGCTAAATTTTACAACACCACAATATTTCTTTGCACAATTGAATGAATTCCCTTTCCTTTCACGTCATTAACAAACGAAATGCTATTTTATCATCAATCTTACCAATTTCGATCGTGTCATCAAATTCATTCGAATTATAAACGACGCATTGTAACTTTTATTAATGCAATTCTCAGAAAAAAGTTATTATTATATCAATGAGCATTTTATACAAAAATAAAATTACTAGTACATAATATACAAAAAGACGTTTACAATAGTTCCTTGTGCATTTATTTAATTTTCAAATAAAACCAAAAGAGAGATTTTCCTTAAAAAAAAAAACAATTTTAAAACCTTTAAAATCAACTGTGGAAATGTCATTTTGTATTAACCTGAGATCCTGATTTAATGTGCGTATGTCTTTATTTATTTAGTAACAAACTAACGGCAAGTACAATGTAATATGACAATATAAATAAAAATACAAAAGAAATACAGGCCTATTACCAAACCACACAAGATAAAATGCAGGCATTGATAGTAACATAAAACAACTATTCATAATGAAACTATTCACAATCACTAGACTGTATAAAGCAGCTTATAGAAATAAATATATTACATTGTCTTAATGCAGTAGAGTGAGACAGAGCATGATGAAGTTTGTGATACATTGTAACTTGGTTTTAAAAGTAGGGATGCCTCTTGAAGTACTGCTATGTAGTATTTGTTTCAAATCTGATACAAAACCTTTATCATTATGTGAATTTTAAAATTATTTAACTTAAGACTTTGTATTAAAGCGTTACTATGAAAAAAAAATTCGATTTGTTAACAAAAAGTGTTGTAAACTACAAGTTTTTTTTTTCTATCAATTAGTATTTTCTTATTGGTAAACGATTCCAAGAATATTCATGGTCCTTTGCTTATATACTTGTCTATATATATAATGTCAGAGCGCCTAAATACCAAAAAATATATATCACAAAGCTTAATCAGTGTCCAAGCTGTCACTGTGAACAAAACATGTATTTTGTTGCATTTGTAAATGAAACTTGCACATTTCAATTATATTTTATCATGAAAACCTGCATTAGTATTTTATTTCATAATTTACACAATATGATGAGTTATAATAGAATTATCGATTAAAAAAAAAATACACCTTTTACTACTACATTTGTGGGAAATATTCGGGAAGCTGGTATTATTAACAATATGCAGCGTGTTAACAGCGTGCACCTATAACAACAATACTCACGCACACCAATGTGAACTTTACACGCACGAGAAATTCAAACCAGGCTTGTTATTTTTAACAATTTTAGAGTAACACTACTAGACAAGTATATAATCAACGTCATGGTCCTTCCAGGTGGATAATAAAAAATGTCGTAAGTTTAAAATTAGAGCCTTAGTAGAGGATTCCGCGATAGTTCTTAGCTGTATAGTTACCAAATATTCATACAAATATTTAGTGCTTTTGACGTTAAATAATGTAATACTAGGCTTATGAACCTGATACTACTTCTTACTGTAGTAACAACTTTAAATAATCATGCTGAAAGTTTTGAAGATCTATCTACATTAAATTCACGGTTGTAAAATCAAACACTGGCCAAGGCAAACCTTTGATGTTGATAAAAAGGGAGGTTAGATTCTGCTTCGATGCATCCATGAAGGTTGATAATCTGAAACTTGACGATTCAGCATTGCTATCGTCATCCATCACACTATCCTCCGTCACAGAATCATCCAGCAGTCTTTCAGCGATTACTCTGTTTCCATTGCCACCTGGAATAAAAGGAAACTATGAATGACATAAAAGCTACGAAATAGGAGCGAGTCAGGCTACTATAACTAATTTAATTCTTATAAATATAATAAATAAATATTGGAAAATACACATACATTGCATAGATCTCAAGTTAACTAACTAAATCCCTCGTGTTAGGGAAATCTGTGACAGATACAACCAGATAGACCAAAGATATTATTATAAAAGAAAATTTTCATTTGGTTCATTCAAAATGCATTCAACATTCAATCCTCTACTGATTATTGGGAGCATTTGACATATTTTATTAAACCTCTAAGAAGCTAAAATTATACGGGATTAGGTAGCTCTGTGTTAAATGAATACAAAAATGGTATACAATGTGCTTGATACTAATTCATTTAGCTCAAAGAAGTTTTTAATTTCATGTTCAAAGTTTTTTAACACAACCACTTTGTATAAATGCATTCTATGAAAAGTAAACTTTAGAAATATTATTTGAGATTCAGTCAAAGAAATACATAATTATGTTTGGTCTAATGTCAGAATAAATAATATAATTATAGATGTATTTATTTTTCGAAAATTTTAACCTATATGAGGTTTAGGTACTGAGTAGTTACGTTACATAGTAGTAGCAAGTAATTGTCCATTAAAGTAATAGATGGCGCTAAGCTTTTTAAAATGATTTGAAAATATATATTTTGTTGACTGCATCTCGTCTCTCTCAACTAGAGACATTAGAACTAACTAAATGTCTCGGGAAATAACAATGTCTCGGGATCCAAACAGTAAACTTCCCCATCTATCATAAGATTTTTCTTTTTCTTTATTCTATAGGATTTTCAATGACGACCTCCATCGGTTCGCAAGCTGTATACTAAATGACACTATCTCCAAGGTCTGGTTTCTATTATTGTCTCGGATCTAGCTGTTGTGTTAACTTATAGTAGCTATCTTGAACTCGGAGCAATATATATGTTATTTAACCCATATATGCCCTTATCTGGATCCAAAAACTAAACAAATAAAAACTTAATCTTACTCCCTTATCTACTTGTAAGAATTAACTTGACCTTTTAGCAAGGCACGCTGTGACTTTTTAGCGAACATATATGTCATGTTGACATTGACAAAAACAAAAGGCCCACCAGTGCTTACCTATGGAGCTATGGGTAACGAGCAAGGCTAACATTCACAAAGGAATTAGCAAAAAGAGAAATTATAGGGATACACTTCGAGATAGAAAAACAAATAGGTTACGACTTATTTGTTTTTCTATCTCAAAGATATCAAGCATCAAATCGAAGCGCGAAGTAGCAGTGGAGTGGAAATATAGCCAGGAAGCAGGACTCATGGTACAGGAGGATCCTGGAATGGAGATAAAGGAGTTGAAAAGAGACCCGTCGGAAGATCACAGATGCAATGGAAGAAGAGGATTGTGAGAAGCCTTTACCGCTTTAGTAGACAGTGGGCTAAGATGTTAACAATGATGATATGAACTAAATCTATCTATATAAAATAAAGTTGTGTTGTGTTGTTGTGTTTTTTACACCATTTATTACTCGAGAACAGCTGTACCGATTTTTATGGTGTTTTTTTGAGTTTGTCATCATCAGTAATAAAATAATAAGTATTAAAATATGATATACCATAAATAATAAAATAATAATAATAATAAAACAGGTAAAACATCAATGATGTGCCAGTGTCAAGAGATTAATTTAGTTAAATTAAAATTGATTTCCACATTTCACAAGGTTACTATTGGTATGGGTCTAAATGAACCCTTAAGTCTTACCAAGATATACTAAAAAAATTTCGTCTTCCGAGTCTTGAGAGTCGCCGCAAGTGTAATTAATGACTTGCTATGTTTGCACAAATTAATTATACTCCGATTGATTCGCCAACCTTGTAATCATATCTTATTTCATAACTAAATTTAGAACTTGTGATGAAATTATTCGGTGTTTACCTTGATGGTATGCACAAATGAGTAGCTCGGTGGCGTAGTGGATAAGCGCCGCGGCCCGCGATCGTAATCGTTAAGCAACTTTCGCAAGGGTCGGTCACGGGATGGGTGACCAAAAATTATTATCTCGAGCTACTCCTTGCTTCGAAAGGCACGTTAAGCCGTTGGTCCAGGCTGCATTTGCAGTCGTTAATACCCTCCAATCCGCATTGGGCCAGCGTGGAGGGTCATGGTCCATCCTCCTTAACCATCCATAAGGAAGGCCTGAGCCCCTGCAGTGGGGACGTAAAAGGGCTGGTGATGTGATGATGCACAAATAATTCCTCCTTTTACAATACACTTATTCGAATGTGTTGCTGCTATAGGGAAATCGCTGTGCATAGCAAAGATAATGATATATTTTACTTTAAGTTTAAAAGAAGCATGAAAGAACTTTGCGCCTACATTAGGAACGAAATAAAAAATTAAATAGGGACTTATAAAGTTATAGCTAATTTTCTTTTCTATAGTTTGTAAAATATATTTTTTTAAGACAACTTTTAATAACGTGTTCTGTATACATTCTTCTGAATTGTAGTCTAGTCCTAATATCAAATATGTATTTACTTTTTATGGCTGTAATCTGTCTTATGTGTCTGTATACAAATAAATACAAGAAAAATAAAATTGAAATAAATTAAATAACGCAACTTACAGCTCACGTTTAACATTCATTTGACAAAAAGAGGCAACTAACAGTTCACATAATGTTGGCTGTGGTTTATTTTAAATTATCGCTAAACCGATTCTGTTTGTTTCGTGCAAGAATAAAAATAATATAAATCTTATTGTGACGTTATCATCACTTATTATCATGTTAAATCTGTAATGGGTCATCTAGTAAAGAAACAAATAAACAACTGACCGCTGGCTGTGGGTCTGGACGGTCTGGCCTGTCGGGGCGGTCCCCCGGCGGGCCGGAGTCGGGCAGCACGTCGCCCACAGCGGACCCGCCGCCACGACGCTCCTCGCCCTCCACCAACGCCAGGAACCTGCCCAACTCCGCCTCATCGCATATCTTCAGAGGAGTTTTCGGACCCACTATAGCTATCGACACGTTCTACGGAAAACATAGTTAATACAAAATATCAGAATCGCAATACAATAGTCCAAGTTGGGCTATATCAGTTAACATTAATGTTTTAAATTATGTCACAATATGTATCTTTATGTAATAATGTTTTACAGACCACCGGCGATATAGAGTGCCTTCAATATAAGCTGTGACAGGTCTGATCTCACTTAGAGAAAATGTTCTTTGAAATGCATCAGTAAAAGAATGTGATAATAATAACATAAGTAAACCCATTCCTTTTTACAGTGAACTGATAACTTATCAGGTTCCTGAGTTTATCTAGAATGCCTAAAACTTTAAATAATTTTACGATTATAATTATGTAAACCAACCTTATTATTAAGATCCACTTCATTAGGAAGTGTATCTCTCAATGCTCGCAAGCCATGAGCTACAAGCTCCTGGAGCTCACAGTCGGCGAATGTCATCAGGTGTTTCTCTAAGTAGGTGCGGGCTGATTGAGAACGGGCACCAATAGCCATAGCACGACAGTCAAAGAAATTAGCTGACGGACAGGTCTGGTAGATGTGAGGACCTTGATCCTGAAAACATATTTATTTTATTTAATATTTTCTGTCTCTATATATAAGTTAATACTGTGCACCATTGTAAGATAAATAATTAGAGTAAGTAAATTAAATTAGGTATATGGTCTGAAACAAATAAATTAACCCTCAATTTGGCAATGCATGTCCTGTAATACATGAAATTGATAAAAATGCACAGTCAAAAACTTAGGATATGCATGTTAAATTAACAACTTCAACAATCTTTGGAACAAAAAATAAAAATAACACCTCTAGTTACATCAATTTTTATATAATTATGAAAATCTGACTGCTAAATGGTGATCAGTTGTATTGTTGCAGTGCTTTTCATATAATACCTATATCTCAAATTTATTTTAAACTAGCTGACCCGACAGACTTCGTCCTGTCAAAAAGATTTGTAATGTGGCAGTTTTTTTGCCTACGTATTTAAAAAAATTCTCCTGAACAGAACCGTCACCCTGGTGATAGGGCGTTGTGAACTCCTCCAACTATGTATTCTGTGCTCCAACGCACACACGCACATTGTTTTGATAGATATGATCTTTGACGTTAGGAACACACCTACATTGCTTAGACAACAGTGAGTGCTTGTAATTTAATATGAACTTTATACCATAGCAATAAAGCTCAAATTGACTACGTTTTAGTTACAAATCATTTGTATGGGAAAAAGAAAAGGGCTATTTTTAGGGTTTTTCCAGCAATAATTCTAATTTTTCTCGCCGTAAAAACCATCCTTGAACTTCAACGAACATTTTAAAAAAAGATTTGGCCAAATTGGTCGAGGCGTTGTTGAGTTATGCGCTTACCAACACATTTTGCGATTCATTTTTATATATAAGAAGAAGAAGATTACGAAAACTATTTTGATATTTATATTGGCATTAAATATTAGAAAATTTTATAAGTGTGAGACCTCAGACCAGCAGACATTTTAACCAAATCAATGAATATACAAATATTCCCATTCACATTTTCAAATTACCCTATATCTCAAATTTATTTCAAATTAAATAGACAAGAGGAGGCAATTTTTCAACAAATTTACAGCATTTTCCTTTTGGGACATTTATGGATTAATAAAACGTTTTGATTACATAAATGAAACAGTTTTAAAGGTTAATAAGTAACTTTTCAATTTAATAATCTTTACAATCACATTTTATAGTATGTATGTTTGGAATTACTTAAAATAATAATAATGAAAAATAAAAAAAGTGAGGTTCCTGGTCAGATGAAGTGATGTGTAAAAGTATAATATAACCTAAAGATATAGATGAATTCTTCTAAATGTATAAAACCAAAAATAATAATCGAAGACAATTGGCGCCAAACAAAAAAATAAATATTCGCATTTGCATTTATGAAAATCAGTAGTAAATATTCGCATTTGCATTTGTGAATGTTAAAAAATATATATTTGTTAACATCATTATTAAGTATGTATCTTATCTTTATCTTTTACTAAATACAGTTTTAAAAAAATGTGAAATATGAATGAAGAAGTACTTACATCATAGCCAGCTACCAACAACCCAACACCAAGGGGTCTCTTGTCATAACGCTGAGTACAGATCTGCATCTTGTTGCCCACAAGATTGATAAGGCGCCCAACAGGCATGGGCGAGTCATGAGCATACTTGTGGTTAAGGCATTCAGTTCTCATAAAACGGCTGAAAGATGAAAAATTACACAGAAGGTAACATAATTTTGTTTTTCATTTAAGTAATTGTTAAAATAAATTTACTGTGTAGTTTTACATGAAACACTGTGTGTAAAGATAAACATGGAAGTTCTGTAGACTAATTTTGTTCATACACTAATTAATTTTATGAAATTTGAGTGTTTTTGGAAAATATGCATTTTGCTGGAGTGAAGTGATTTATATTTAAAAAATAGACTAAGGATTGGTGCATATCTGATGGAAGAAGTGTCTTAAGTCATAGAACCAACACATTATATAATATGATATTCAAGCTCGCACACTCTACGGAATTTCTCAGACAAATCCCATAAATTGAATCATGAGGTGTATGTAAGAATTTTAATTAAAAACTATAAAACAAACTAACCTCAACATACGAGCATCTGCTGTTAATCCAGATATAGAAATACCTATATGTTCATCTATAGGAATAATCTTCTTCTGATATGCAGACAGTTCACTTACAGCCCTCTTAAGAGCTATCAACACCGCAAAATCTTTATTCTTCAATCCTACAGTAGCTGATCCAAGTTTCACAGCTTCCATAGCATATTCAACTTGATGCAAGCGGCCTTGGGGGCTCCAGACAGTGACGTCACTGTCATATTGATTTCTAAACTGTAAATTAAGTAAATTCCATAGGTTTAGAGATGAAATAAATCTGCAGTAACTAAATAACAACTTCTACAAATGAGGTTATGTATTTAAATATTTGTTATGATTTAGACTCTGGTCGTTTTACCATCAGTTTATTCAATGTTATCTAAGACTTACAATATGCATAATAAGTTATAAATTTTAATATTTGTAGTGCAAACAAGTAAAAACTTCCTTGAATAATTGCATTTATTCACCGATGACTTTGCAAAAATCTTAGACACATAAGACTAGAAAGTAAATTATGAGTCTACATTATTTAGAAATTTAATTAATAGCACTTACCATTTTGAATTATGAATAAAACTTAGTACATTCACAAATAATGCCGGGAAGGAAACGCGATGAACAATGGCGATGACAACGATGACTTGATCAAAAAGTCTGTTTTTTTTAATCATTCGTCGTTACAATAAAGGACAAGCGGATCTAACCCGTACAGCCTAATCTGAAACAATATTCTTATTATCATTAAAACTTCGTTGTATAATGTTTTAATACTTTTTATCAATGTACGGAGGCCAGTATCATCAAAAAACTCAGATAAAGTGAGCATAAAATAATAGTACTCCAGACGTTGTTAGACTTGCCGAGTGTCTGAATTGGAACGCGTCACCAGCCGTAGAAAGTCACCCGAGATTGGATGAATTTAGCGCAAAAGGGTATTTAACTAATATCTATATTTCGGGCAAATAAAAATTAAAGTTTAAATATCCGAAACAACACGAAAAACGCTGTGTCTGTCTTACGTCCTCATGACGTCACATGCTACCAAATAAACAAACCTCATCGTACTAAAACCGTTAACAGAAAGCCATATTCACAAGCGTGAGTCGTCATCGGAGTTACGATCTATTAAAGGGCGTTTTCGTCTCAGATAAAATGTCAGATAATATTTTATTTTATTTTGTGCAATCTGCTAAAATTATACATTATTTTGTTTAAAATAAAGTGAAATATGTGTTATTATCCTATTAGCAAGGATGATCACAATGAGGACGTTTTTAAAAAATTATTAGTTCCCGAAATCAAACTAGATGTCGCTACAGTACTTTCTTGATTTCCCCATGACAACCCTTCCTGTTTACTTTCGTGTATAAAAGTAAATTAATTTTCAAAATTTCTGTTCTAATAATTTGTTTCATTTTCCGTAAAAGCCCAAAAAGTCATTCAGCAGAATCCCCATTCAGTAAATTCGAGTTTGTTGCTTCTGACACGGTAGAAATTTCATAGACAGCTAAAATCTACACAGACATTAGAGTTTTTAAAATTTTTCAAAAATTCAGTATTCTATTAAAGTTTACGCTGCCTTTGCAAAGTAAATTTAATAAATGCGATGCACGCTTGTGAGTGTGTATTTTTAATTATTGGAGATGCTTTTGAATAAAATAGCATTATCTCCAATAAGTGTTACCAATCAGTGGTTTTCATACACATTAAAAACTTCAAGCATTATCATTGACATATAATATATCTAACGAATAGTTATTATTTAACGAATTATTCGAATAAACTCATGATTTTAATTGGTTAGCTTGAATAACTTCTGTTCTGTTAACTTCTGTTATACGTGATAATTTTTAAACATTTTTAAAGTATATCTACATAAATTTTTCAATTATTTCATTATTATGGAAATATTTTTTCCCCTCCCAACTTGGTAATACATAGGTAACTCTACTTCCGCTTCGTCCCGTTTCTTCGATTTTGCATGTATAATGTATCACCTCAAACCTTAAACCTCAAATTTTTAGAACAGTCGCTTTACTTATTACTTATCTTTACTTTGACGACATATTGTAATCCTATTAATGTAAAGTTTCTTTGTTTGGATATTTGTCTGCCAATCACGCTGAAACTACTGAACGAATTTTGATGAAATTTGTTATGCGGATAGGGTACCTATTAGCGGATTTAGATATTATAATACTTTTTATCCCACGACGCGAACAGTTTGATTTTAATATGGGCGCGGTAAAGAAGATCGGGAAGATTCATGGACATTCGTGGGCGTTCAAGTGTTATCACGTGTGCCAGTTTGTGTGTTTGTTTACAATTTTTTTTTACTTGTTATATTTTTCTAACTGATCGATTCACAGGGTATGACATCATCAAAAAACTATCTACCAACGAGCAATTTGTAACTAATTAATAAAACAACTATTTCTGAAGTGCCAATTAAATATAAGAGGTATACATAAACTGTCGTGGTTGTAACTTGTTCCGTTGTTTTTTCTGTATACTGAGTAAGTATTCGATATCCAACTGAATAGTAAAAATAGGGCCGGATACAGGATAGTTAACAGATATACGTTTCATCTTTACTTAAGACAGAGCTAGAATGTTTAAGAGTTTTTAGCTTATTATCTCTATTATGTGAAAGGCTAGTTTGACTAGACTATGACTAACCACCTGGGGAAAGTTTCCAAAGGGAGCAAAGAATTCAAAAGCTTATAAAGACTGAATAATTATACTTATCTTGAAGACGGATTATATATTATACTCAAAAAACTTCTATAGAATTCATTCGATTAATATTAATAGATCTACACAAAAATTCTTAATTATCTTTACTTTCATGCTGAATACTGTAAGAAGTACATGCAGCTGCTAAACTCCAATATAAACTATAAAAAGCTTACTAAAACAAAGGTGACTTTAAATAATTATCCTTTATTAACGTCTAACTTGTCTTTAGAATTTAATGAGCTTTTCCACTAGATCCTATGTAATTTGTGAAAACCGGTTTAATGTCTTTGTTTGTTAACTGAACTTAGACAAACTTTAGTTTTAAAGACGTCAGCACTGGCTGCGTGTCGCGATTTTATAAATAAAAAATTATAGTTACTTAGATTAAATTAGACTAGGGCTATTTGATAGTCTTATAATTATAACGTGTTGCAGAAATTTATTATAAACTACAATCTTAATTTTTAAGAAAAAAATTTTTTTATCCTTTTTTCGATGTAAAACAAAACGACGCGTAAATCTTAACTCCACCAATCTATATTAATGGTATAAAGAGGTAGGATTTGTTTGTTTGCATTAAATAGGCACCGAAACTATTGGACCGATTTTAAGAATTCTTTCACCTACGGGAAGCTATATCACAGGTTCATCATATAGGTTATAATTTAAAAGGGCGAAGTTGCAGGAGAATAGCTAGTTTCTTATAAGCTAAAAAATATTTCCAAATAAGATTGGCTACACTATAATAAATTCACAGATAAACACGTGACACAGAGTCAGCGATGATAGGACAACGCTACCTTGATTTCGGATGCGTTACGTATGTAGATAAGACTAGAAATAAAATAAAGTTACCAAGTGTATAAATTAATATTTTGACACAGCAAAGAAGGTTTTAGAAAAGTTTCATTTGTTCATTTTACATTAATTCTTATTCTTCAAAAATACCTATAACTAATCTAAATACTTTTTAAGAATGAAATCATTACATAATGGATGAGTTTATACCACATATACGCAAATAAAGGATGCTTAGGTATTCTTTTCATTCTTATGTAACATTGTTTGGTTAGGAACAATTACTAAAAATACTTTTCAAAACAATTAAAGTAATTAAATTGTAAAGGAAACTCTTCACTATGGTGAATATATGGTATGCCATATATAACTTTAAAATGTCTACAATTCAATGCTCGTTCAACTTCATTTTACCATGTATTTGCAACTTAAAAAGAAAAAAGAATAGAATAGAAAGCCTCCATTTATTTTATTGATTAACTACTTAAATTACTATTGGACTCTGTTGCGTTTACCTCTTATATTTTACAAAAGCGAAATGCAATTGTATAATATAAAAAGTGGTTTATTTACACACAGTATTTCGCTTTAAACAAAATATTTTAATTTCGTTACTATTATAAAAACCTTTTTTCACAAAAGGATAATATATTAACCGTTTATTTTGAATTTAGAGTACGTGTACGTGCATTTATTAATCTGCTCAATAAGCTCACAGTGACAGCTCGTCAGTGATCTTATCAAAAAAAAAATAAAGGAGTTGTCAATGAATTGATAACTCCTTTGTCTTTCTCAATTAACGTAATACAATACTTATTCAGTTTCACGAAGAACTTGATTTTTTTTCCTCTTATCTATTCATATAAAAAATATATCGGTCAATTAAAAGAAAAGAAAACAAGCCCCATAGTAGGGGATTTCAAATATAAACCCGCTAACTCTAAAAGACAGTGCAGCACAGGAATTATTTGCTTGAAATAATTCTCGACAAGCTTCTATTCTTTGAATGCTTTGTATTTTTATGTAAAACGAATGTGGTTTTTTATTGTATTTGCTTCGTGTACCTGTTTGAGATTTATATTGCTGTTTTAGTTTACCTACGACACGAGCAAAGAGCATTTTTAATTAAGAATATTTAACCAGGATTATTTTTATTATATTTATTACTAGATTTTGACCGCGACTTCGTCCGCATGGTCTAGTTTTAGGTCAAGGATCGCTCCTAGTATGGGTGACCAACAATTTATGCACTGGACCGACCTATTTTTATGCGTTGTCTATTTTTTTATAGATTTTATAAATATTTTATATTTTATGGTTGTTGACACTTGTCCTTTTGTCGAAGTCCTTTATATTTGTGGAAATTAAAAAATTGTGTGAATATTCTTAATTGGATTTATTTTTACACTTGTGCCACATAAATTAATCGTCGCTTTCTTCGTCGATAACAGGCAGGTATATTTAAGTTTTCAAGATCACAATAAATGATCTCATTGATGTATATTTTAAAGACGACACAATTTGTGATTCTATAGCAAAATAAATGCAGTATGGCTTCACATTTTTAGAATATACCCTCTAGGATTGCGTGACGCATCGTTTAAAAATATTACTATTAATGTTGATATTTTCTTTTATAAGGTTTGTAATCACGGATTAAATAATAAACTCTCAGTCTACCTACCGGACAAATCGATAATAGACCTCCTCCTGGTTTTCTTAATCGGCCATAATAAAAAAGAAGAGGGTGACAAAATGTCGCGACTTCGTGGCACTAGCTATCTTTATCTAACATATTTGTTTTCCTTTATCTTCTAGAACTATGTGGAATATTTCAGTATATTCTGAAATAAGGTAGGACATTCTACAAAGATTTATATAAGTATTGTATCCGAATGATTTGTTTTATTTTTTATATTTACAGTTTATGACCCTGTCTATAGAATTTATCTAAAGAATTATCTATTATTCAGTAAACGCCATCAACCATCCATAAAGAAGGCCTAAGCCCCTGGCAGTGGGGACGTAAAAAGGCTGATGATGAAGATAATGAGCAAACGCTAACGACACGTCTCGATAGCAGGAAAATGGTTAAAGCATAAGCACTGAAAGCCAAATTAAAAAAAATCTAGATTTTACTTAGAGCTAGTGACAATCATATGTAGTATTAACGATTGATATTATTATAAATCAATAGATAAAAGGCCACTATGTAAGTAAGCTACAACATACCTACATACTCATAACACAGTCCCCCCCCCCCCCCTGGAACAGTTTGGAAGACAGT